TTCATTCAAGTTTATTCATTGATTCACACTTAAAAGTGTGCATCGAAAAGGCATTGTGCAGCAAAGGGGGCGCTAGCGAGCAATCTTCTGAAATTTTAAATAATGAATCGGACACCTTACAGCAGTGTTTCCCAACCCTGTTCCTGGAGGCACACCAACAGTACACATTTTGGATGTCTCCCTTATCTGCCCCATCCATTTCAGGTCTTGGAGTCTCTACTAATGAACTGGTGAGTCAATTCAGGTGTTTGATTTGGTAGAGTTCAAAAATGTATAGTGTTGGTATGTCTCCAGGGACAGGATTGGGAAACATTGTCCTACAGTCTTGTGGACTTGTGTGTGCAGAAACTATTGTAAGTTCACAAGACCACATGTTCACAAGAAGTGTGCCACTTGGGACAGGGCCCTGATTACAGATGGTTTCCTGTATGACTGTTGATCAAGTCAAGTCACCTTTATTTCTATATTGCTTTATACAATACAGATTGTGGCAAAGCAGCTTTACAGTGTTAAACAGGAAAATAGTGTCTCAGTCATTGTTATTACTGAGCGCATCGAGTTAACGAGCAGATCGGGGATGTCAAAGTCCAGTGACAGCAGCCTGTGTGGTGCTGCGTGGGCCAGCCAGTAGAGAAACACCAGCACCTCAGCATCTTTCCCCAGCCATGGTCAGAAGCTGACTTCAAAGCAGCGATGAGGGACACGATGGACTGTCGTGAAAGCCGGAGGTCAGATCCGTCTTCGAAATACAATCGAAGAATTGGCACAGCAGCATTCAGGCGGCAGGTTGTAGGGCTCACAGTCTGTAAATGTGTGTGTGTGTGTATATATATATATATATATATATGTATATTATTTATTTATTATGTTTATATTATTTATGCATATATTGTATCTATCTATAATATTTATTTAGGCTATGTATATATTGTATGTATTCATTCTCTCCTTCTATTTATCCAATTGTGTATTATGTATTCATTCAAGTTTATTCATTGATTCATGTCTTTTGTTTGTCCTGTGTATTTTTATGCATTTATTTATAACAATAAATTACTTTATTTCGTTGCTCCAAATGAGCCTCTGTCATGCACTTAAAAGTGTGCATCGAAAAGGCATTGTGCAGCAAAGGGGGCGCTAGCGAGCAATCTTCTGAAATTTTAAATAATGAATCGGACACCTTACAGCAGTGTTTCCCAACCCTGTTCCTGGAGGCACACCAACAGTACACATTTTGGATGTCTCCCTTATCTGCCCCATCCATTTCAGGTCTTGGAGTCTCTACTAATGAACTGGTGAGTCAATTCAGGTGTTTGATTTGGTAGAGTTCAAAAATGTATAGTGTTGGTATGTCTCCAGGGACAGGATTGGGAAACATTGTCCTACAGTCTTGTGGACTTGTGTGTGCAGAAACTATTGTAAGTTCACAAGACCACATGTTCACAAGAAGTGTGCCACTTGGGACAGGGCCCTGATTACAGATGGTTTCCTGTATGACTGTTGATCAAGTCAAGTCACCTTTATTTCTATATTGCTTTATACAATACAGATTGTGGCAAAGCAGCTTTACAGTGTTAAACAGGAAAATAGTGTCTCAACAATGCAAGAGGACAATAGTAAACAGTCACATTTTCAGTGATAGTCAGTTCATCATTGATTCAAAAGTGACAGTGGCAAGGAACCCAAACTCCATCTGTGACAGAAATGGAGAAACCAGGCTCAAATAATGATCCTCAAATGATGTGTAATTCCTAAGAGCTCCACAAATAATTAGGCACATTAGTCGACATGAAACAGAAATTTCCTATCTGGCTTCTAAAAGCATATTCCAGATCTTATTGTGAACAATTTATCTTTCTTTTTCTTTTTGTAATTTTCAAATGTCATGACTGAATATTAGACTTCTCTCTGGTGATATATGCAAGTTTTGTTGTTTTTACATTACACTTTGATGTATTTTGTTTCCATTTTAAATATCTAAAGAACATTTTTCTTCTATAAAGAACCTTTTGTGGAATGGAAAGTTTCTGTGGATATTAAAGGTTCTTCATGTAACCATCAATGCCAATAAGTGTACTTCTGTTTCAGCACGACTTGCCCCGTATGACTCTGTACTTAAATGCAGTGTACTATGGATAATGACAATGTTTCACATTTAATTAAACAACATTTATTTTTTCATTTGATCTGTAATAAATGGCATATGTGCTCAATAAAGCTCTGGGACTTTTATTTCAATTAACTCTATAAAGGAAACCAAATGCATGAATTAGGTTATTAATAAAGCTTAAATGATCCAAGAAAAAATAATAGCAAATAAAGCAAATACAAATCATAAATTGTGATTGTGTGATTGTGATGCTGATAAAGCGCTCGTGGTGACCTCTGGTGGTGATCTGGGGAAATTGCATGTGTTGGCGACCTCTGCTGGTTTGTTGTGCAACTACAGACGTAAGCAGTCAACTTTCCTCCAAGCTTCATTGCGACTAGCAAGAACAACATCACCGTTTATTATCTGAGAGTCAGCCAGGTAAACATCACACGATTGTTGATGTTATTTGCATTAGCTTGTATGTTTGTGTTGTGTAGCCTATGTATGTATAATTAAGAACTGGATAAGTTAATCAATGGCCCGAAAGTTAGCGCTCTGAACCGTTTAAATAAGATTACATTCCGAATAATATTGTTAGAATAATTCCACGATATGAAGACATACGGCTACGTTTATAGGCCGAGTTTTATATTGTGCAACATTTTATACAAGTAGACGTGATGTGACAAGCTAATGAATCATCATCATCTGCAGCAACTCTTTAAGGTCATTTGTCCAATTATACAGGCGAATTTGATGTTTAATTCGTACTTTAATGCGTATTGTTTATTATATTGTAAATTTAGCCCACATATTTACACATTTTTAATCACGCGTAGTTAAATATAGTCAAGTTGAGAATTATTTTAAAATAAATACCGCCATCTGGTGGCCACTTGTAGTTCTGACATTAACCGCGGGCTGCACACAATACATGTGAAAAAGAAACAAGGACTCTCACTGCATAGCACTGCCACTGACTGCAGAGAAAATGGACTTTTATTTGCGTGTGCGTCTCTTTTTTAATATATATATATTAATAAAAAGACGCTTGTAAAGGATTTGTTGCACTTTGTTCTGAGTATACTTAAAAACGTCTGCATATCCCAGCATGCACTGCGCGGGGTTAACCAGGAGTATTTCTGTTTAAAACGTGCATAAAAACGCATGTTTTTCACGACGTACTTCTACTGCAGCATTTCGATTGCATATCCACCTTCGCGGCGATCCTATCTATAGGAGAGGGAATAGTAAGTACGCTTACCGTCGAGGAAACTGGTGTGTTGTTTGGTGACTTCCCCTCGTTGGACGGTGCAACATCAGCTTTGCGCAGTGGCAGTATCGTAGCCTATGAGGTTTATCCGAGGCGCGATTATTGCTAATTGAAAACTTTACCCAATACCCCGCCGTGACGACTTGAAATATAGTCGGCACTGGCAATTTTTGACGGTCTTTACGGAGACTGATCTTTTTGGTGAAAAACAGATTTGTGTTTAAGATGGTAGAGGATTATGATGGGATACTAAGTAACATCGTACATGAAATAATACTATCGATAACGAACGGTGACCGAGCCTGATGGTTTCTTACAATGTTTTTTTTTATGTTCCACGGATTCATTATTTAGGGAAGTACAGACTAATATTGAGCCCCTCTTGACTACAGCTGCGTCCGAAATCGCATACTTCCATACTATATAGTAGGCGAATAAACAGTACGTCCGAATTCATAGTATTCGAAAAACAGTAGGCGAGAAGTACCCGGATGAATTACTACTTCCGCCCGAGTTCTGTAGCATGCATACTCCGACGTCAATTACTGTCAAGTTGTGTCAACAATGTTTTAATGACCAAATATAACCAGATCAGTGTCAGTCAACAACTTTTCAGTCTTACCTGTAATTCCCCGAGACCTATTTTCAATTGTGCGGCGGTTTGTACAGCCCCAAGCAGCACACGACTGAGGCATTTTCTCGAGTCCACTTATGAGAATGATGGAAAAGATGCCCGCACCAAGATGGCGGCGACGTTGACGTACGATCCAGCGGCCAATGAGGCGTCTAGGTATTTATATGTCTATGCATACGACGGACACTTTACTATCCCATGAGGCCACGCGAGAGGAGGCGGCGACGCGACTCTCTTCAAGTGCAAGTACCTCAGGGAAAAACCTATGGGATGATATTAGACTCTAAATGATTAATAGACGCACGCACAATTATTCATGTCCTGCATACATTTTATACATGTATCTTACTAACCACAAACAAATGCCTTTCAATTTGAGTCTGTGGAATTCAGGATTAAATGATTGTGCAGGGATTTGTACAAATACAGACATGTTTTCGTACCTTATTTGATAAATGATTTACAAGCTGTCGACGAAGGCGTGATCTGCCTCCTCTGAGCTGTTGATCCAATCAACGTTAAAACGTCGCTGAAAGCGGTAAGAATAACGTGAAACACTGCTGATGCTCGCGCAGTAGTGAGGGCTCTACATTGTAACCGCACGGTTGACCTTTTTTCGCGATCACATTTCTGTAATTAAAACTCGCCAAACTGCAGTTTTGGCTGTTTGTCTTTATACCCCTCATTGAATAGAGGGTGTAATTTCAATTGTATCCACTGGGTGGCTATGCTGCAAGGATATATTTGATGCTGAGGAGCCGAAACAAAACCGGAAGTGTATTGCTGTGGCGCTCTCTTCAAACCCTTGCCGCTAGTGACGCTGAAAGTTGAGGTAAGATTTTTATACATCCGATTTCATGTTCTAGACCTCCTAACACTATATTTTGTTGAATGGCAGAAGCATGGTGATAAAAGTAATCTCTGTGTTACCTCAGAAAATGTGCTTGACCGCTCGGTCGAGTTACCCGCTGGGTTGACGCTAGTTCAGCAATGCGATCATAAACTGGCATGCAGCCAGTTTCCTCACTAAACTGAATTGTATGTATTTTACCCTTATCTACACAGTATTTGGTTTTACCTTCAGATTGTCATATCTTTAAATCCGTTTAATCCTTACATAATTTGACATGAGCTAGTACTTATTATTTCTACAATAGCCATTGTATCCGAGTCTTTTTGGAATAACATAAAATAGTTATAGCTACAGCTTTCTAGATGGGTAGTTAGCTATAAACATTCAATTTTCTGTTCAGTAATCTGACAAATATAACATGTTTATGAGTTTGCAATTAAAAGGATGGATGGACATTTGTCCATATTTTATTTAGCACAGTAAAATTACCTCATCATTCACACTGAAATATTTTGTCTCTTGTTATATCTAGTTTCATAGTTGTGTGTTATTTAATGTATCATACACAATACACAAAATATGTATTAGTATTAGTACCATTTTTCTTATCAATTTATATGAAATCTCAATGTGTCTATGTTGGCAAAACAGTTTATCAGTATGACAATTTTTTATTTTTTATTTTTATGGATAGCTGTACCTGAGGCACTGATTAATCAAGACACAGTTTTTCATTTTTGTGTATAGTAATGTTTATTATGTGCCATGTCTTTCAGGCATAATGGACTGTCGATCATTTTATGGACGCCCCAGACCTACATCCACGGCCTACAGCAGTATTTCACTTTTACCTGCTGATCCATGTGATTCTGAGGTTGAAGATCTCAGTGATCCAGATGATGAAAATTATGATCATGTCCCTCCACCCAGCGAAGATTTGATGCCCCCTCCAAAGAAACGGAGAAATAGGAACAGGCTTGTTGAAGTCTCTACAGACCTCTATCAAACTCCCTCCCATCCTGCAAAGTCCAGAAAAACCAAAAAGACCACAGGGGTAAAGAAGGACATTCCCCCTTTCACTGTGTCCGAGCCTGTCTTCATGCTTCCAGAGTCAGTCCAGTCACCATTTATGTATTGGAAGAGGCTCTTCACTGACCAGATGATTGAGCACATAACTGAGCATACCAACCAGTACTCAGTTCAACAGACCGGGACATCCATCAACACCACAGTTGCTGAAATGGAAGATTTTTTGTCAATTTTGCTGTACATGGGAGTTTTTGAATTTCCCTCTTTAGAAGATTACTGGGCCTGTGAGTCACGATTCCCACCAGTGGCTGATACCATGTCAGTGAAGCGTTTTAAAGTGCTACGAAGACATGTCCACTTCAATGACAACTTCCAGATGGAAGGCTGCACTGACCGCTTCCATAAGATTCGCCCTCTTTTAGACATGCTCAGAGAACAATGCCTTCTCATTCCCCCCACCAACAGGCAGAGTGTTGATGAAGTGATGGTGGCTTACAAGGGCACCAGAGCTGGCAAACTCCGGCAGTATATTAAAAACAAGCCGGATAAGTGGAGATTTAAGATCTTCTGTCGGGCCAGCTCCATTGGCATAATCCACGACTTCATCCTTTACCAAGGGGCCACAACATTCTTCAACATTCAAAAGGAAGAGCATGCACATCTGGACTTGGAAGACCTCTCCCTAGGTGCCAAAGTTGTCTCAATACTCTGCAACACTATCACACACAAAGAGGCAACTGTGGTATTCTACGACAACTTCTTTACCAGCTTCGACTTGAAGACACTGCACACCAACCTCGGACTGAGAAGTGTGGGTACCGTCAGGGCAAATCGTTCAGGTAATGTACATTCAGTGATGTTAATCATGTTAATTGTTAATTATACAACCACATCCTCACACATAACCACACCATGCATCAAGCATCAACCCTCCACGGACACCTTGGCAATTTAATCACCATTGACTAGTACATTTTTTAGTTTACTCGCCAGACTTTATATATACAGTATATATATATATATATAT